CATGTTGTGGGCCTGATCCCCAGTGGGGGACATGCAGGAAGTGGCCAATCGATGTTCTCTCTCATCAATATTCCTATCTCTCTCTCCCTCTCCTTTCCTCTCTCTCTAAAAATAAAAAAAAAAAATTTTTTTTTTAAATGATCACCACATTAATTCTGGTTATCTGTCACCTCACACAGTTACACATTTTTTTTCTTGTGATAAGAATTTATTTATTTATTTATCTATCTTTATTGTTGAATGTATTACAGATGTTCCTCATTTCCCCCCATTGACCCCCTCCTCCCCACTCCCGCCCCCCTCCTGCCTTTTCCCACTGTTGTTTGTGTTCATTGGTTATGCATATAAGTTCTTTGGTTTATTTCCTCCCACCCCCCCAACCCCCTTCTCTTTGAGGTTTGTCAGTCTAGCAACCAATTTGTTCTTCTTTTTTTTTTTTTTACTCACCCGAGGACATTTTCCCATTTTTTTGTTCAGGTAGAGTGGGAGGGAGAGAGAGGAACAGAGAGAGAGAGAAACATCGATGTGAAAGGAACACATCGAGTGGCTGCCACCCACACGACTGACCAGGGCCGGGGACAAACTGCAACTGAGGTACATGCCCTTAGCGGGAACCGAACCCGGGTCTCTCAGGACCGCAGGTCGATGCTCTAACCGCTGAGCCAAACCGGCCAGGGCCCAATTTGTTCTTCTTAATCCCTTCATATTTTTCACCCATTCTCCCCAACCCCCCTCCCATCTGGCAGCCAACAAAATGTTCTCTGTATTTTTGAGATTGTTTCTGTTCTGCATGTTCATTTTGTTTGTAGATTCAATTGTCGATAGATATGTATTCATTGCCATTTTGTTTGTTTATATATTTTATCTTTTTCTTCAAAAGGACCCTTCAACATTTCATATAATAACGGTTTGGTGGTGATGAACTCCTTTAGCTTTGTCTTGTCTGGGAAAGTCTTTATATGGCCATCGATTCTAAATGACAGCTTTGCAGGATAGAGTAATCTTGGTTGTCGGTTCTCGCTTTTCATCATTCTGAATATTTCTTGCCACTCCCTTCTGGCCTGCAAAGTTTCTTTTGAGAAATCAGCTGACAGCCTTATGGGAACTCCCTTGTAGGTAATTATCTGCTTTTCTCTTGCTACTTTTAAGATTCTCTCTTTGTCTTGAACCTTTTGCATTTTGATGATGATGTGTCTTGGTGTGGGCCTCTTGGGGTTCATCTTGTTTGGGACTATCTGTGCTTCCTGGACTTGTATGTCTGTTTCCTTCACCAAGTTAGGGAATTTTCTGCCATTTTTGTTTCAAAGAGGTTTTCAATTTCTTGTTCTCTCTCTTCTCCTTCTGGCACCCCCAAGATGCGAATGTTGGCACGCTTGAAGTTGTCCCAGAGGCTCCTTACACTATCCTCATTTTTTTGGATTCTTTTCCCATTTTGCTGTTCTGATTGGGTGTTTTTTGCATCCTTATATTCCAAATCGATGGTTTGCTTCTTGGTTTTACATTCTCTACTATTGAATCTGTGTAAATTATTCTTTATTTCAGTTAGTGTCTCCTTCATTTCTGACTATGCTTCCTTCATTTCTGACTGGTCCTTTTTTAAGCTCTTGATGCCCTCACTAAGTTCACTGAGCATCCTTATAAGCAGTATTTTGAACTCAGCATCTGTTAGGTTGCTTATCTCCATTTCGCTTAGTTCTTTTCCTGGAGATTTGTTCTGTTCTTTCATTTGGAACCTGTTTCTTTACCTCGTTACGGCTGCCTCCCTGTGTTTGTTTCTATGTATTACTTAATGAGAAATATGGGGCTGAGACGAGATGCTGCTTGTTTGAAAGAATTTAGGAAAACCTGAAGCAGGATCCAAGACAGGCCAATCCTATGGTAAAGCAACTGGCAACAGCGTGGGTGGGCCTGAAAGTTGGGTGGGGCGGGGCCTCAGGGAATTACCAGGGTGGGGCAAACAGTGTGAGCCAGGTTGCTGGAGTCCCAGATAATGGCAGCTGTCTGCTGTCCCAGGGAAGGGTTCGCCAAAGGAACAAAGGCCTCTCTCAGCACATTTGTCCAGAGAAAGCCCCCTCTCCAGCCCTTGCTCCAGTGCCAAACAGCTCAGTTCTTCCCTGTATGTCTCTGGTGCCCCTCGAGCTGCCTCCCCTCCAAGCTTAGAGGGAGTGAGTGTGATAAATCCGTGTGTGGGCCCTTTAAGGAGCTGCCTGGGGCTCCAGTGCCTCAACCTCCTTGAGCCTCAGTTCCTGCTGGTTTTTCCAGCCAGAAGTTATGGGGACTTCTCTTTCTGGCACTGGAACCCTGAGCTGGGCGCCTGGTGTGGAATGGGGACCCCTCAGTCCTCAGAGAGGACCTTCCCAGCTGAGGTGTCGTCCCGATTTTTATGCGCCACACGTGGGTGTGGGACCAGACCGTCTGCCTCTGCCCCTCCTACCAGTCTCGACAGTCTCGACGTGGGTGCTGCTTTAATTCCTCTTTAATTCTGTAGTTGTAGGATTTTCATTTGGCGCGATTTCAGGCGGTTTTGTTTTTTTTTTTTTAATCATCCTCACCCGAGGACATTTTTCCATTTTTTGTTCAGATAGAGCGGGAGGGAAAGAGAGGAAGAGAGAGAGAGAGAAACATCGATGTGAAAGGGACACATCGAGTGGTCGCCACCCGCACAGCCAACCAGGGCCAGGGACAAACTGCAACCGAGGTACATGCCCTCAGCGGGAACCGAACCCGGGTCCCTCCGGACCGCAGGCCGATGCTCTAACCGCTGAGCCAAACCGGCCAGGGCCAGGCGGTTTTGAATGATAGTTTTTCTTTAGTTTAGTTGTAACTTTGATGTGGTTGTGGGAGGACGTGATACCGCGTTTACCTACTCCGCCATCTTGACCGGAAGTCGTGATAAGAATTTTTAAGATCTCTCTTAGCACCTTTCAAATATACAACATAGTTTTGGGTTTCAGTTTCAAACTTTATAAGCCCCCGCTGATTTGTGTGGGATTTTTTGGTACGCCCCTAGCAGGAACCAAACCCGGAACTCTCTGGTCCACAGGCCAACCAACGCTCCAACCACTGAGCAAAACCGGCCAGGGCAAGAAAAATTTTAAAAAATATATATATATTCATAGAATTTATTGAGGTGACATTGGTTAATACAATTATATAGGTTTCGAGTGTACATTTCTATGATATACTCTGTATATTGTATTGTGTTCATTGGGTTTCTTATTTCAGGCTTCTTTGTGCCACTTCAGTAGTTTTTTATTTCCTTTTCTGGAAGTTTACTTTATAAAAACAGTTTTATTGAGGTGTGATTATGTACCATAAAATTTACCCATTTTTATTTTTTCACAAGTAAGATTTTTAAATATTTGCTCCATTAAATGTCTGCATTTTAGAGTCCCCTTTTCTCCACACTCTCGCCAACACTTGTTGTTTGATGATTTGTTGATGGCGGCCATTCTGACAGGTGTGAGGTGATACCTCATTGTTGTTTTAATTTGCATCTCTCTGATGATTAGTGATGTTGAGCATTTTTTCATATGTTTCTTAGCCATTTGTATGTCTTATTTGGAGAGGTGTCTGTTCCTCTGTCCATTTTTTAATTGGGTTCTTTGTCTTCCTTTTGTTGAGTTGTATGAGCACTCTATATATATTGGAAATTAACCCTTTATCTGATATATCATTGGCAATTATGCTCTCCCATAGAGTAGGTTGCCTTTCCATTTTGATGAAGTGTTGGTGAGGGTGTGGAGAAAAGGGGACTCTAGTACACTGCTGGTGGGAATGCAGACTGGTGCAGCCACTATGGAAAACAATATGGTGTTACCTCAAAAAATTAAAAATTGAACTGCCATTTGATCCAGTGATCCCACTTCTAGGAATGAATATACCCTAAGAAGCCTGAAACACCAATCAGAAAAAATATATGTATTCCCGTGTTCGTAGCAGCACTATTTACAATAGCTAAGATCTGGAAACAGCCCAAATGTCCATCAGTAGACGAATGGATAAAAAAGCAGTGGTACATATACACAAATGGAGTACTATGCAGCTGTAAGAAAGATCTCTTATCCTTTGAGACGACATGGAGGGACCTGGAAAGTATTATCCTAAGCGAAACAAGCCAAACAGAGAAAGACAAGTATCATATGATCTCACTTATTTGTGGAATATAATGAACATAACAGTCTGAGGGATGGGTGGTCCCAGAGACGTGGAAGTGGGGTATAGACTGACAATCCCCAGAAGAGGGGGTGATAGGGGAGAGATAAACCACAGAACTTGTATGCATGAACAATGGACATGGACAACAAAGCTGAGGACAGGGTGGGGAGGGAGGGGGAAGGGGGGAATCAGTGGGGGAAAAAGGAAAAACATCTGTAACAAAAATTAATTTAAAAATAAAATAAAATAAAACACTGGGAAAAACAAACAAAATGTTTACATTTTAAACAGATTATTGGACTGGGGGCTCATATCCTTCAGCTCATTCATTCAACTTAAGCGCTTGTCTCATCCCTAGTAGCTTTCCCAGAATTGCTACCTTCATCATGAAGCTCCATGAGTTTTCCCAATTCACTCTTGGGCTTCTTCAGCATTTTGACTTTTCTAACAAAGACATCATTGAGTGAATTAATAGATTGGCAAGCCTTTTTCTATGTCTTTTCCAATATCTGGAATCAATTTATTGACCACTTTAAGTCATTTGTCTGCACCTCTTGGGCCATGATTTCCATTATCTTCTGGATTTGGTGGACCCGCTGATGCTGAGTGTAAGAGGTCTTCCAAATCTGATTGTTGCTGTTTTAGTAAAACCAATATAGAACAGACGAAGCAAATAACCATTGGTAGTCTTGACATCAACATGATCTTCACTCATAGTCTGCCATTTTTTGACCATGGAGCACATCTTGTCACGGGTAAGATCCATGCCATAGAAATTAGGCAGTTTAGCCCTGAATATGCTCAGTAATTAGCTTGGACTTTCTAAATGCAGCTTCATCATTCTACAGATCAGCTAGGTTCACTTCAAAAATACAACCCTTAAACCCATCAGATGCGATTTTGGTTCCTTGAGTTCTCGTGACTAGTGTTTTTCCAATATTTCTTATATTGAACATAGCTGGTGCTTTCACATTATACCAATCTTTCTTAGAAAATGGATCAACCACTTTCTTCTTGGTTCCCTTTTTGCTGCCTTTCGTAAGGCGCTTGTTCTCGCCCACCGCCATGGTGCTGCTCAGACAGCCAAAAGGGCAAATTGACCCATTTTAAGTGAACCATGCAGTAATCTTTAGTAAATTTACAGAGTTGTGTAATCATTGCCACAATCTAATTTTACATCTTTGTCCCCCAAAAAAGATTTTGTGCCTGTTTGCAGCCACTCCCCATTTCATCTAATTTCTCTCTGTGGATTTGCCTAACACAGACATTTCATGTAAGTAGAATTGTATAATATATGATCTTTTGTGTCTGGCCTCTTTCACCTAGCATAATGTTTTCAAAGTTCGTTCATGTTGTAGTCTGTGTTAGTGCTTTGTTCCTTTTATGACTGAATACTCTTCCATTGTATGATATACCACATTTTATTCATTGCATCAGTTGATGGACAGTTTGGTTGTTTCCAGTTTTTGCCTACTATGAATAATGCTGCTGTGAACATTTGCATGTGAGACTTTTATGGCATATAATTTTACTCTCTTGGGTAGGTAGTTAGGAATGGAATTGCTGGGTTAAATGGTAAATCTGTGTTTAACCTTTTAAGAAACTGCTGAATGGTTTTTCAGAATGTTTCTACCACCAATGTACAAGAATGTGTTTCTCCACATCCTCATCAATACTTGTTACTGTCTTTTTTATTAATAGGATAGTTCCTTTCTCTTCTTTGTTCTGGGTGGTTTTCCCTCAGCTTTATTGAGATATAATTGACATGTAATAGTGTGTCGTTGTGTAATTGACATGCAGCATTGTGTAATGTTCTGTACAGTGTGATGATTTGTTAGCATGTATGTATTACAGATAATCCCCCTCCACACACACATCCATTTGTCTTCAGATAGAGTGGAAGGGAGAGAGAGAGAAAAAAGAGAAACATCAACATGAGAAAGACACATCGACTGATTGTCTCCCACACGACCCCAACCGGGGACGAACCGCAACCAAGGTATGTGCCCTTGACTGGAATCGAAGCAGTGACTCATTGGTCCACGGGCTGATGCTCTAACTGTTGAAACAAACCGACCAGGGCGATAGTATCTCTTTTTTAATGGTTTCTACATCCCTAATTTGTGCTTTGTTTTGATTTCCATGGACCGAGAATATCCTTTAAATAATCAAGTTTGTAAACATTTGAAAAATTCTAGGTAGATTATTTAAATGAGTGATTGATTCCAATTGATTTTCTTTCATAGCTCAAACATTCTTGAAAGTAAGGATAAGGTGACCTCTTAAGCTACTTGAGATAGTTATGCAATTGCCTGCCAGCTAGCCTGCCTCTGTCCCTCATTTTCTGAGTAACACATATGTGTCCAGCATTTTATTCAAGCGCTGAGAACACATGTCCTGCCTCAGTGGCCTTATGGTCATTCTGGGTTTTTCGGGGGTTTTTTTTGTTTTGTTTTAAGAAATATGTGCAGCTATCAACACACTTTGTTGATTTCAAGACCAGGTCACAACTCACTCCCGTGAGCTACAAACACTGTTCAGTAGAGGGTGTAATCATGAAAACCACTGATAATTTAGTGTAAGAATGATGTTCTAAAAATAGCCACCGTCTGGTATAGGAGAGCAGAAGAGGAGCCTGTCTCAGACTGGGTAGACAGTAGGGTCAGCAAACACTTCTGAAAGGAGGTGGACGTTGGAAGTGATGAAGGAGGAGGAGCGGGGGTGAGACAGAGGGGATAATTTGAAGAAAGACCTAAATAGGGCACCTTGTTGTCATGTACTTGTCACACAGCCCATCGTATAAATCTGTGTTTTTCTAACTGCAGTTGACCACATTTTCTATTTTCATCATATCTTTTAGGAAGGTTAAACATTAAATTCCTTTTTCCTTTTAGTTGTTTTCTTTAGTTCACTTAATCCTTTACCCTATTGGGTTTCTTCTCTATTTTATATGTACTATTAAGGGAAAAAACACTACTCATTACATTGTGGTATGCTGTCAATTATAAGATATATTGTGACTTCAAAGATGTTACAATATAAACAAAGCAAAGTGCTTCTAGAATCAATACTATATGATATTTGTGTTGGAGATTCTTCAGGTATGTTTTAAGCTAAGGAAATCTTGCTAGAATAATAGTAGCAGTCACATGCCTTTTCAGCTTTGTTTTAGGTGATGCTTTAGGGAAGTAGGTGCCATCCAGGTCAATGCCAGCTTAATGTATCTTGAAAGCTTTTAAATCTATCATGATTATAATTAAATTAGCTTTGGTTAAATAATAGAGATTGGGGGAATGAATTTTGCTAAGATTAGGAAAGATAGGGTTTACTAAAGACTACAAAATAGAATTAAAAAGTAATGTTTTAGTGACCTTTGCATAAATTTTCTGGTGTTCTGAGCTTTTTTTTTTTTTTATCCTCACCTGAGGACATTATTCAGATAGAGTGGGAAGGAGAGAGAGAGAGAGAAATATCGACGTGAAAGAGACCCATCAAGTGGCTGCCACCCCCACGACCCAACCAGGGCTGGGCACAAACTGCAACCGAGGTACATGCCCTTAGCAGGAACCGAACCCGAGTCTCTCTGGACCTCAGACTAACACTCTAACCTCTGAGCCAAACCGGCCAGGGCTGGTGTTCTTAGCTTTTAAAAATCAATATTCAGCCTCACAATTCTGCCATTCTGCCTCTTTCCCCCCTTGCCCATCATGTTGAACTCATTCATAAGCTGAGAAGTGTTGATAATTCAAAAAGTGCCCCAAAATAGTGTCATGCCATTATTTATTCTGACAGTAGGTTCATAAAGAACTCTGCTTTTCAGAGCAAGGAAGCACAAACCGAGCTTTTCTGAGTGTTAGAAAGGGGCTGCTGTGTGCCCGGGGTGGGAAGGGAGCATGCGAGACCTTGGTTTGGCCAGAACCTGATCTTCCAGAAGCAAATGACTGTGTAACAGTCACTAGCTTACAGTATGGAGAACAGACCATGGGATACTGTGGCAGGCCCATGGGGTGGGGGTGAGGAACAGCAAAGACCACAGAGCTGAGGAAAAGGGAAAAGGGCACTCTGCTGGTTATTAGAGTGCGGTACTAATAGCACTTAATGGGAGTGTTAAAAATATTTTTACTGCCCTACCCGGTTTTTGCTCAGTGGTTAGAACATTGGCCCGTGGAAACAATGAGTTGCAGGTTCAATTCCAGTCAAGGGCACGTACCCCTGTTGTGGTTTGTACCTGGCCCTGGTCGGGTCATGCAGAGGCAGCCAGTCAGTGTGTCCCTCTCACGCCCATGTTTCTCTTTCTCTCTCCCTCCTTCCCACTCTGAAGATAAACAGAAAAATATCCTCGGGTGAGGATTAAAAAATTTTTTTTTTTTTACTAACTTGAAATTTTGATACATAAAACATGGTTTGGGAAAATTTATTATTAGATCTTGGAGAATTAGCCTATGATATCTTTAACATTAGAAGCGTAAAATAAATGTGTGTAAACAAGAATAAAAATATATTCCAGTTGTTCTGGTGAAAACTTAGAACATTAAGGCCCTTTCAGCCTGGACTTGTTTGCACTGTACCCAGAAATTACCTATCTTATTCCCAATTTTATAGATTCCAGGCCATTTATTTCAATATTCAAAAGCCCCCCAGGCATGTGTGTGTGTGTGTGTTTAATATGTAAGTTTCTCTTATGGATTAGTGAGCAGAAATAACTTAAATTTCTTATAAAATAGAAATGTACTTATAATACCCAAGAACAGAAGGAAAAATACTTTTTTATTGAACAGACTGGATGTGTCTCACTTTGATTATTGCAGTATTTCCTCAGTTCTGTGGTATGGTGGAGATTTTATATTTTTGTGTCATTCATGGAGATGACTAGATTTTACATTTTTTTTCTATCGATTTTAGAGAGAGAGAAAGGGAGAGGGAAAGAGAGGGAGAAACATCGATGAGAGAGAACATCGATCAGTTGCTTCCTGCACACCCCCCACCGGGGATTCGGCCTATAACCTGGGCATATGCCCTGTCTGGGACCCAAACTGGTGACCTCCTGATGCATGGGTCGATGCCCAACTACTGAGCCACAACAGCTGGGCAGACGACCATTTTTTTTTTTTTATCCTCACCCGAGGACATTTTTCCATTTTTTGTTCAGGTAGAGTGGGAGGGAGAGAGAGGAACAGAGAGAGAGAGAGAAACATCGATGTGAAAGGAACACATCGAGTGGCTGCCACCCGCACAACCGACCAGGGCCGGGGACAAACTGCAACCGAGGTACGCGCCCTTAGCGGGAACCGAACCTGGGTCTCTCAGGACCACAGGCCGATGCTCTAACCGCTGAGCCAAACCGGCCAGGGCACAGACGACCAATTTTAATGTGCCTACCACAAGTTAGGTACTGAAGAGGCAATGGTAAATGAGAGATTCAAAAGTGAATTGCTTGGAGGAACCTAGAGCCAAGTGAGAAGACCGAGAGGAGTTAATGCTGTGATGTAATAAAGATACCTGTGAAGAGTTCCGGAATCACAAAGGAAGGAATATGTATCCTCCCTGGTGAGAGGAGGCAGTGAAGGGAGGTTTTCCAAAGGTAGTAGCATACGAGCTGAGTATTGAAGGGTGAATAGGAGTTTATAGGTGAACAGGAAGGGTGCTGGGGCAGAGAGGGACTGCAGCCGGAGAGAATGTGATTAGAGTTGAGGGAGCAAGGTCAAGGTTGGTGTGGAAGGCTTTAGGACTGGAAGGCTAAGAGGGTTGTGAGGAAGGGAGTTTGTAGTTTATCGTGTGGCTTGGCTTTCTATGGAAATCTAAGCCCTCTGAGAGTCTCTGGAGAAAAAAGAGCTTCTGTGAACAGTACAGACTTAGAGTCTTACATGCTCGGTAGAGACACCTGTTTTATGTTTATATTCCAGAAAGAAAAAAAAAGTCTTGGGAAGGGGCTGCAGTTGGGCAGTGCAGAGCTCCTGACCATTTTCAACAAGGGAGTGACTTCACTTGATTTACATTTAGAGAATGAGCTGGTACTGCTAATGGGGGGAGGCTGGTGTTGGGAGATTGGTGACAAGAAGACCAGTTCATAACTATTACAATTTTGGTTAAATAAAATCTGACCATCGATATAAAGATGTTTACTCTCAAAACTTAGAAATTTAGGGTTCTTCTAAGAAAAAAGCATTTTAAGATGAGAATTTGGGGATAAATGCAGATTTTATTGCTGATTCTGATCAAAGATTAAACAAATGGTTTATAATGCTGTCTGATAGAAAAAATCTGGTTTAAATTGTACTTGTAATTTTTTTTCATTCCTTTCCAACATGCTCTCTTGAGATCTTAGATCAAAGTGGTAGGATTTTTTAAAGATTAAAATGTGCTAGAAATTTTATATTTTCTCAAATACAGTGTAATGTATTTTTATATTTAAGGGCCATGTACACTTCTTTTACTGGAATACATTATTTTTCTCAGCCAATTTTTAAAAATAAATTAGATTTTTTTGTCTTTTTGTAACAGTTTTTTTTTTATCCTCATACTAGAACATTTTTTCCATTTTTTGTTCAGATAGAGTGGGAGAAAGAGAGAGGAAGGAAGGGAGAGAGAGAGGAAACATCGACATGAAAGGGACACATCGAGTGGCTGCTTCCCGCACGGCCCTGACCCAACCAGGGCTGGGGACAAACCGCAACCGAGGTACATCCCCTTAGCGGGAACCGAACCCGGGTCTCTCTGGACTGCAGGCCGACGCTCTAACCGCTGAGTCAAACGGGGCCAGGGCTCTTTTTGATACAATTTTAGGAGCCTTTTATATATGGAAGAGATTAGCCTTTTATTTATAAGTTGCAAATATTTTTTCTCAGTTCGTCTTGTTTTGCTTTGTAAAGGATTCTCATATTTAGTTACTTGAATATATCTTTTTTTAAATGGTGACTAGTTTTTGAGTCATGGTTAGAAAGGACTTCTGTACTCCAAGGATTGTTTGTTTTTTGTTGTTTTTTGGTTTTTTTTTATCCTCACTCGAGGACATTTTTTGATATTTTATTCAGATAGAGTGGGAGGGAGGGAGAGAGAGAGAGAAACATCGACGTGAAAGGGACACATCCAGTGGTCGCTACCCACACGACCCAATCAGGGCTGGGGACAAACTGCAACCGAGGTACGTGCCCTTAGCGGGAACCGAACCCGGGTCTCTCCAGACGGCAGGCCAACGCTCTAACTGCTGAGCCAAACCAGCCAGAGCTGCACTCCAAGGTTTTAAAAAGGAACTTACCCAGTTTTATTCTAAGACTTTCATAATTCTGTGATGTATATTTAAATATTTGATCAATGAGGAACTAGTGCTAGTGTATGATGTGCAGTAGTGAGTCCCTTTGTTCCCAGTGGTGTTTTCATAGCTCGGACGCCATCTGTTGTGTCATCTTTCCCTCCTTGATGTTGAGACGCCTCCTTCCTCCTCTACCATTTTCTGTTTTTAGACTTCATAATTTGTCCCATTGATCTCTTTATGTGCTAGTTAGTGCCTTGTAGTTTTGAGGCTTTATAATATCTGGTAGGGCTGGTTTCCTTCTAACACTCTTCTCTTTTGCTTTCTTTCTTTCTTAATATGTTTTTATTGCCCAGCCAGTGTGGCTCACTGGTTGAGCGTCGACCCATGCACCAGGAGGTCGCTGGCTCCATTCCCAGTCTGGGCACATGCCCAGGTTGTGGGCCTGATCCCCAGTGGGGGGCATGCGGGAGGCAGCCAATCGATATTCTCACTCATCGATGTTTCTATCTCTCGCTCTCTCCCTTCTTCTCTCTCTAAAATCAATCAATAAAAAATGTTTAAATATGTTTTTATTGATTTTTTTTTTAGAGGGGAAGGAAGGGAGAGATAGGAACATCGATGTGAGAGAGAAACACCTATCGGCTGCCACCTGCATGCCCCCTACTGGGGATTGAGCCTACAACCCAGGCATGTGCCTTGACCAGGAATCGAACTGCAACCTCTCAGTCCATGGGATGATGCTTAATCCACTGAGGCACACCCGCCAGACTACTTTTCTCTTTTGGAACTTTCCTGACCTTTGTACATTTTAATTTTTTTACATGAACTTCAGAATCAGTTTATATATTTCCAAAAACTGATCCTGTAGGCATTTAGATAGAGGTGGACTGGGTGGTGGTGGGTAGAGTGGTGGTGAGGATGTGGGGGATTGCTTTCAATTTACATATTAATTTCTTTATGATAATAACTCTAAGTTATAGCTTTAATTTAATCTTTTTCTCTTACAGATGATATTAACCGTGTTCTTGAGCAACAATGAACAGATTTTGACAGAAGTTCCTATAACACCAGAAACAACATGTCGAGATGTTGTGGAATTTTGCAAAGAACCTGGAGAAGGCAGTTGCCATTTAGCTGAAGTGTGGAGGGGAAATGGTATGTATGAGGCTCTGGAGATTGCTAAGGACATAGAATGTAATGTTCACCAAATGCACAGTATTGTTTCTAGTTTTTATCTGTGATAATAAGGAATTGACTGGTTAAAATAAAAACTAGTATTATATCACAAGGGGATAGAATTTTACAAATGCTTTTCATAAAAAAAGTCTGTGATGTGATTTTGCCCTTACTGTAGCCACTTGAAATAAGCACTGCTGCAGGTGGATCCAGCTGTGCATGAAGTCTTTCCTGATAGCACTGCTGACCACATGTGAGTTCTGTCCACTGAGATCTCACAGTGTTTGGTTTGTTACATGTCCAGTTGCTCATCTACTTTTCTTTTACTGATGATAACTTCATGAAGGCAGAAACATTATTGTGTTTCTCTGTGTACAAAACCCTTTAAATAGTAGGCCCTCCACTGTGCAGTCCAGTTACCCGCGGGACCTGCAGGGTGCTGAGGCAGCAGAGAGGCCTATGCGACCCAGATAACCACAAGATAGGTAAAGAGCCGGGTCTCCAAAGGTACTGTCCAATCCAGCTGCCCACGGTATGGGCAGGAAATGCAGCTCAAACAGGACCTGAGCTATACAGCTACAGGTAGCACCAGCTACCAGCTAGAAACACAGCTCCAGAGGGGACCACATGATCCAGCAGCAGCACCTACCAGGACACACCAATAGCAGCCCCCAGTATTCATTCAATCCTCCAGGATCCACAGCAGGCGAGAGGCAACACGCAACAAAACAGTCTGGGAGGCACAGTAGCCTTATTTGATATACATTGAGCTGCATACACATCCAAACATCCCTTAGCGGGTATAGAGCTACCGGATGGCTAAAATGGGGAGACAGAAACAACACCCAAAGGAAAGAAAAAGAGGAATTCACCAGAAAAGGAACTACAGGAAATGGAAGACAGCAACTTGTCAGATAAAGAATTCAAAGCAGTGATTTTAAGGGTGCTCAAACAATTTGGTGAGAACTACAAGCAACTTAATAAGAATTATGAAGAACTCACTGGGAACTACTTCAGCTTAAAAAAAGAGGTAGAAGCTACACATAAAGAGGTAGAAGCTATGCATAAAAATCAAGAGGAAACAAAGAATGACTTAGCTGTTACGAAAAATACCTCAGAAGGGTGTAATAGTAGATTAGAAGAAGCTGAAGACCAAATCAGCAACTTAGAAGACAAGGTAGAGAAAAACACTCAAATAGAGCAGCAAATGGAAAAAAAAATTTAAAAAGCAGGAGGAAAGTTTAAGGGAGCTGTGGGACAATACAAAACGTAACAACATTGACATTATAGGGATACCAGAAGGAAAAGGAATAGAGAACCTGTTTGAATAAATAATGACAGAAAACTTCCCTAAACTGGTGAAGGAAAAAGTCACACAAATCCAGGAAACACAGAGAGTCCCAAGCAAGATGAACCCCAGAAGACCCAAAACTAGACACATCAAAATAAAAATGGCAAACATTAAAGACAAAGAATCTTAAAGGAAGAAAGAGAGAGACAGAAAGTTACCTACAAGGGAGCTCCCATTAGACTGTCAGCTGATTTCTCAATAGAAATGATGCAGGCCAGAAGGGAGTGGCATGAAGTGTACAAAGCAATGCAAGGCAAGGGTCTGAATCCAAGACTACTCTATCCAGCAAGGCTAGCATTCAGACTTGAAGGAGAAACAAAGAGCTTCACGGATTAAAAAAAAAAGCTAAAGGAATTTACTACCACCAAACCAGCACTGCAAGAAATGCTGAAGGGACTGTTGTAAGAAGAAAGAAGGGGAAGGGGAAGGAGAAGGGGAAGGGGAAGGGGAAGGGGAAGGGGAGAGAGGAGCACAGACATAAAATTAAAATGGCAACTAATAACTATCTATCAATAATTACCTTAAATATAAATGGCTTAAATGCTCCAATCAAAAGACATAGGGTAGCTGATTGGATAAGAAAACATGACCAATATATACGCTGTCTACAAGAGACCCACCTCACAACAAAAGACTCACGCAGGATGAAAGTGAAGGGATGGACAAAAATTTTCTAAGCAAATGGAAATGAAAAAAAAAAAAAAAAAAAGCTGTTGTAGCAATACTCACATCTGACAAGATAGACTTCAAAACAAGGGCCATAATAAGAGACAGAGAAGGTCACTACATAATATTAAAAGGAGCAATCCAACAGGAGGATATAACCCTGATAAACATATATGCACCAAGTACAGGAACACAAAATATGTTAAAAAAAACTTCTGGAGGATTTCAAAGGCGAGATCAATAGCAACATGATCATAGTGGGTGACTTTAACACACACTGACACCACTGGATAGATCTTCTAGACAAAAAAGTAACAAGGACATAGAGTCCTTACAAGACAAACTAAATCAGTTGGACTTAATTGATATTTACAGAACATTTCACCCCAAAGCTGAAGAATATACATTCTTCTCAAGTGCACATGGGTTATTCTCAAAGATAGACCACATGTTAGGACACAAAGGAAGTCTCTACAAATTCAAGAAAATTGAAATCATATCAAGCATCTTCTCAGATCACAGTGGCATGAAACCAGAACTCAATTACAATAAAAACCCCCAAACATTCAAATACTTGGAGGCTAAATAGCATGTTATTAAGCAATGAATGGGTCACTAATGAGATCAAGGAAGAAATTAAAAACTTCCTGGAAACCAATGGAAACAAACACACAATACAAAATCTATGGGACACAGAGAAAGCAGTCCCGAGAGGGAAGTTCATAGCACTACAGGCCTACCTCAAGAAACAAGAAAAATTTCTAACTGACTTTCTAATCCTACAACTTAAAGAAACTAGATAGTAAACAAAAAGAAAAACCCAGAGCTAGTAGGAGGAAGGAAATAGTAAAGGTCAGTCCAGAAATAAATTACATAGAGACTAAAAAAACAATTCAAAAGATCAATGAAACAAAAAGCTGGTTCTTTGAAAAGATAAATAAGATTGATGGACCTTTAGCCAGACTCACCAAGAAACAAAAAGAGAAAAACTAAATAAACAAAATCAGAAATGAAAGAGGAGAAGTAACAACTGACACCACAGAAATACAAAGGATCATCAAAACATACTATGAACACTTATACGCCAACAAATTGGACAATCTAGGAGAAATGGACAAATTTCTGGAAACACACAGCCTCTCAAAACTGAACCAGAAAGAGATAGAAAACTTGAACAGACCAATAACAACAAAGGAAATTGAAGATGTAATCAAGAAACTCCCAGCAAACAAAAGCCCAGGCCCAGATGGCTTCATGGGGGAGTTTTACCATACATTCAGAGATCTAATACCCATTCTCCTCAAACTTCCAAAAAATCCAAGAAGACAGAACACTTCCAAACTCATTTTATGAGGCCAGCATAATCCTAATTCCAAAACCGGATAAAGACACTACAAAGAAAGAAAACTACAGGCCAATATCCCTGATGAACACAGATGCCAAAATCCTTAACAAAATATTAGCAAATCGGATCCAGCAATCCATCAAAAACATTATTCATCATGACCAAGTGGGTTTCATCCCAGGCATGCAAGGATGGTACAATATTCACAAATCAATAAATGTGATACCCCACATAAACAAAAGGAAAGATAAAAACCATATGATCATATCAATAGATGCTAAAAAAGCATTCAACAAAATCCAGCACCCATTTCTGATAAAAATGCTCAGCAATGTGGGAATAGAGGGATCATATCTCAACATAATAAAGGCCATATATGAAAAACCTACAGCCAACATCTTACTCAATGGGCAAAAACTAAAAGCATTTCCCCTAAGAATGGGAACAAGACAGGGATGCCCACTTTTGCCACTCTTATTTAACATAGTACTGGAAGTCTTAGCCACAGCAATTAGACATGAAGAAAAAATAAAGGGGATCCAAATTGGAAGGGAGGAAGTGAAACTGTCATTATTTGCAGATGACATGATATTGTACATAGAAAACCCTAAAGACTCCATCAAAAATCTACTAGACTTAAATGAATTTGGCAAAGTAGCAGGATACAAAATTAATGTCAAGAAATCAACAGCAGCCCTGGCCGGTTTGGCTCAGCGGTTGGAGCGTTGGCCTGTGGTCCTGAGAGACCCAGGTTCGGTTCCCGCTAAGGGCATGTGCCTCGGTTGCAGTTTGTCCCCGGCTCTGGTCAGTGTGCGAGTGGCAGCCACTCGATGTGTTTCTTTTGCGTCAATGTTTCTCTCTCTCTCTCTCTTCCTCTCTCTCCCTCCCACTCTATCTGAACAAAAAATGGAAAAATGTCCTCGGGTGAGGATAAAAAAAAAAAAGTCTCTTCAATAAATGGTGTTGGGAAAATTGGACAGCTACCTGCAAAAAAAAAAATGAAGCTAGACCACCAGCTTACACCATACACGAGAATAAACTCAAAATGAATAAAAGACTTAAATGTAACTTGTGAATCCATAAAAATCTTAGAAGAAAATGTAGGCAACAAAATCTCAGACATCATATGCAGCAGAATTTTCACTGATACAACACCTAACGCAACAGAAACAAAGGAAAAAATGAACACATGGGATTACATCAAACTAAAAAGCTTCTGCACAGCAAAACAACCAACCATCAAAACGGAAAGGGATCCCACTGTATGAAAGACCATAATCACCAATGATGTATCAGATAAGGGTTTAATTTTCAAATATATAGAGTGCTTATACAACTCAACAAAAGGAAGACAACCCAATTAAAAAATGGGCAGAGGACCTAAATAGACACCTCTCCAAAAAAGACATACAAATGGCCAAGAAACATATGAAGAAATGCTCAACATCACTAATCATCAGAGAGATGCAAATTAAAACAACTATGAGGTATCACCTCACACCTGTCAGAATGGCTGCCATCAACAAATCATCAAACAACAAATGTTGGTGAGGGTGTGGAGAAAAGGGGACTCTAGTACACTGTGGGTGGGAATGCAGATTGGTGCAGCCACTGTGGAAAACACTATGGTGTTACCTCAAAAAGTTAAAAATTGAATTGCCATTTGACCCAGTGATCCCACTTCTAGGAATATACCCTAAGAAACCTGAAACACCAATCAGAAAGAATATATGTACCCCTATGTTCATAGCAGCACTGTTTACAATAGCTAAGATCTGGAAACAACCCAAGTGTCAATCAGTAGATGAGTGGATTAAAAAGCTGTGGTACATGTACACAATAGAATACTATGCAGCTGTAAGAAAGAAAGATCTCTTATCCTTTGAGATGGCATGGAAGGACCTGGAGAGTATTATGCTAAGCGAAACAAACCAAGCAGAGGAAGATAAATATCACATGATCTCACTTATTTGTGGAATATAATGAACTAAACAAACTGCTGAACAAAACCCAGAGACATGGAGGTGGGGTACAGGCTGAGAAGCCTCAGGGGCAGGGGAGTTGTGGGGGAAGAGATAAACCACAGAACCTACATGCATGTATAATGAACATAGACAACAAAGCTAGGGATGGGGTGGGGGGGGAAAGGGAGGAGAATGTCAATGGGGGAAAAGTGAGAAACATCTGTAACAAAAACAAATAAATAAAAAAATAGTAGGCCCTTCATAAATATTTATTTATTTATTTATTTTCCTTTATTGATTTTAGAGAGAGAGGAAGGGAGAGGAAGAGAGAGAGAGAAACATCGATGAGAGAGAACATCTACTGGCTTCCTCCTGCACACCCCCCTGCACACCCCCCACTGGGGATTGGGCCCACAACCTGGGCATGTGCCCTAGCCGGGAATTGAACTGGTAACCTCTTGGTGCATGAGTCGATGCTCAACCACTGAGCCATACTGGTTGGGCAAATATTTGGTTATTAAAGTGAGAAGAGTAAATACTGGTATTACATTTAAGAACTTTGTCAGCTAGCTAGGCAGTGTCAGTAATATAATTGCTGAATACAGAAAATTCTGCCAAATAATTTGGACTTGTAAAGGAGGGGTTGAATTTAGATAGAATAGGATTTACTAAGCAAGGGGAGCAATGTGAAGGATGGACAAGAGAAAAATGTATGTGTTCCTGAGACTATTGAGAGAAGATAGGCAGCAGGGTAGAGAGGAGACTAGCTCATGCAATGCCTGTAGCCTTGGCAGAGGGGCAGCCTTTATTCAGCCTGCAGCCAGAGGTGACCCTGTGGTCTGGATGGGTCTGTGTTGGAAACTAGGAGAGTGATCAACTGGAATGTTTTGAGTTTGAGGTGATAATGAGATGAGTATCCAAATGGAAGTGTTTAAAGGGTACTCAGGGATAATCAGTGAAATCTTACCTTTTTTTTTTCTTTTTTTTACAGTTTTTAAATTGAGGTCTAGTTGAAAACCTTATATTAGTTTCAGGTGTACAATATGATTTGATATTTGTATATATTGTGAAATGAAACCATAAATCTAGTTAACATCCATCACCATACACAGTTACAGAATTTTTGTGTGTGTAATGAGAACTTTTAAGATCTACTCTCTTAGCAACTTTCAAATACGCAATAAAAAATATGGAACACTTCATGAATTAGCATGTTATTTTTGCACAGGGACCATGCTAATCTTCTTCATACTGCTCCAGTTTTAGTACATGTGCTACAGAAGTAAGTGCTCTTTATAATTTATTTTAATCATAGTTAACATACAATATTTTATTAGTTTTAAGCATACAGTCGGCTCTCATTTATCACGGTTAATCAGTTCCAGACTCGACTGCGATAAATGAATTTCTGCGAAGTAGGATTCTTTATTTATAAATAGAATATTTTCGCAGTTAGAGCAGAGAAAACCTGTTTATGACCTTCTAAATGTTTTTTAACATTATTAGCCCTGGCCGGTTTGGCTCAGCAGTTGGAGCGTCAGCGTGCAGTCCAGAGAGACCCGGGTTTGGTTCCCACTGGGGGCATGTACCTTGGTTGCAGTTTGTCCCTGGCCCCGGTTGGGTCGTGCGGGTGGCAACCACTCGATGTGTCCCTTTCACGTCGATGTTTCTCTCTCTCTCTCTCCCTCACACTATCTGAACAAAAAATGGAAAAATGTCCTCGGGTAAGGATAAAAAACAAAGAACATTATTAGAGCCCTCTAGACATGAAATAACACCCTTTAGTTACCATTACACTTGTATTACCCAATATATTAGAGAAAATAAGACATATCAGATGTTACAAATATAATATTATTATTGTACATTTAATTACACACACAGTTCTTACACACAACCACTAACCTATGAAAATAGTGCAACTTGTTCGATGATGAAGTGATGAAGATGAAGAGATGTACTGCACAGCAAAGAAGAGCAAGGTTACTGTTCCTCTGAAGGCACGACCTCAGTAGGAGAGTCTTCAGGTGGTGCAGTATCTTCAGCAGGTGCATCGTCGTCTTCTTCCCTGAAGGAGCCCTAGGAGTAGGCAGTGGGTGTCTGGGTGAGCGGCTGAAGAACATCGTGATAGGCAGTTGTTGGCGCTGTCTTTTCATATACGTGAGGAGGCTTTGTAGGGTCTATAGCTTCATCAAGTGCATTCCAGAACCACAATGCATGCATCGTTTGTGGGTCCCATTCATCAATCAAGAACCTTAATAGTTCTTACAACTTGCGAGACACACTCAAATGTAAGGCCAACTTCCTCCTCCTGACCTCCAGGAACTTCTGGCTGCTCTTCCTCCTCCTCACTCTCAGACTTAGTCATCTCCCAGATCCTTGTCAGTTAAGGGATCCGAATGTGTCTCAAGCAGCTCATCCACGTCATCGCGGGTCATATCCGCAAAACTTTCTCCTCCCAGCATCAGGGCTAGCCTAACTGCCTTATCCACTGCCGAGTTGCTTATATCCTCTGGGGTGAATCCTCTATAGTCATGGACAATTTCAGGCCACAACATCTTCCAGCTGGCCTTCACGGTCTCCATGTTTATGTCCTTCAATGCGGCCTGGATGTTCTTTAGACAGGTCGCGATGGTATACTGCCGCCAGTATCAGCAAGAAGTTCTCCTCAAGGTCCATGCCTTCAGCGAGGTGCTGCAGGGTGTTTCGCCTGTAGAGGGCCTTGAATGCGCAAATAACACCTTGATCCATGGGCTGGATCAGCAAAGTGGTGTTGGGAGGAAGGAACTCGATCCGCACATCGTCATAGGATAGGTCTTGCACATGACCTCCAGCATTGTCCATGAGAAGGACATTAAACCCAAGTCCCTTCTCTGCGAGATACAGCTTGACTTGGGGGATGAAGCACTCATGGAACTAGTCCGATGACAGTTGCTTCGTGATCCAGCCCTTGTCGTTGTGCATTCAATGCACTGACAGCAGGTTTTTATTTTTATTCTTCAGGGCCCTAGGTTCTTGGCCTTATAGATAAGGGCAGGCTTGAGCAAAAATCCCTCAGCATTTCCACACATAACGATAGTCACACGATCCTTATATGTCTCGAAGCCATGGATTTTGGCCTCATCCTTGAAAATGAATGTCCAGCCGCAGCCATTGAGGAACGAACAACAGCCATGGCTCTGCATTACCCGATGGCCATGGGCCTCAACAAGGGCCACAAGATGATGAAGAACGTGAGCAAGCCAAGACACAGCCGCCGCTGCGCGCACCTCACCAAACACACCAAGTTTGTATGGGACATGATCCGAGAGGTGTGTGGCTTTGCCCCCTATGAGCAGTATGTCATGAAGCTGCTCAAGGTCTCTAGGACAAGAGGGCCCTGAAACTCATCAAGAAAAGGGTGGGACAAACATCCATGCCAAGAGGAAGAGAGAGGAGCTGAGCAATGTCCTTGCAGCCATGAGGAAGGCAGCAGCCAAGAACTGAGCCCCATCACGTGTAATAAAATCTGTGCAGAAAAAAAGAAAATGAATGTCCGGGAAGGCATTCTTTTCCAGAACAGTCCTGTTTCATCCATATTGAACACCTGTTCTGGATGATACTCGCCCTCTTCAAGGATCTTCTGGAACGTGTTGTTCAAGTAGTCCTCTGCTGCAGGCTGGTCAGCAGAGGCAGCTTCTCTGTGGAGAACGACACTCTTCAGATGATACTTCTTCTGGAACTTCTCAAACCAACCATTGCTTGCTGTGAAATCCATGAACATTGCAGAAGAGGGTCCTGGTTGAGGTTCGTCCACCGTAAACTCTGATAGAGCTGCCTCGCCTTCTCCTGGATGACCAGGGAATCCAACGGAATGTTTTTCTTGCGGTTGATGCTGATCCAAATGGCTAGGGCAGACTCTGTTTTCACTATGAACTTATTACGACTTGTCACGATGCACTTTGTTTCCTTGTTGAAAGAGACAGTAGCCATTGCACAGATGTTCTTTTCATCTTTATGGATGGAGCGAACGGTAGACTCATTCAAGTCGTAATGGTGGGCAATCTCCACGATTTTCTTGCCATCTTTGATCATATCCAAGAGTTTCACCTTCTCCTAGATGGTAAGCATCTTCCTGTGGTGCTTAGTTTCATCGTCAGAAGGCTTAGAAGAAGCAGCACATTTAGGAGCCATTGTGGGGCTTAGATAAAAGTTCTCAGAAATTGCAAACACAAGAGCAAAGATGCTTCTGATGTGTAGCGATGTAGAAATGTGTATGAGAGAAGCAAACTTGCATAAGGCTGGGCCAGTCAGTGAACAGCATGCTCTGATTGGCTTGGTTTCACCACACCCGATTTTTTGAAAAAAAGTTATTGCCCACACACAAGGAATGATCGATCGGTTGCACCTGGCATTGAAGGATTTGCGGGGTGCTTGAATACATAGGCCTACAGTCCATATGTACAGTAATTGTAATTGTAATACAGGGGTGTATAATTGACTCAAACAACCAAGTGCATGCTGTATCATTTTCACTGTCTCGATCAACTTTTTAATGAATATATTTGAAAAAACTGTGATAGAGTGAAGCCACGAAAGTCTAAGCGCAAAGTGGCAGGGGACAACTGTATCACATAGCTATTAGACACTTATATACCTTATGAAGTGATCACCATGATAAGTCTAGTACTCACCTGGCACCATACATAGTTATTACAATATTGTTGACTATACCATATTCCTTCTGCTGTACTTTGCATCCCTGTGACTAATTTTATAACTGTCAATTTGTAGTTTTAAGCCTCTTCACTTTTCCACCCAGCCCCCCATCAGGCAACCATCAGTTTATTCTCTGTATTTATGAGTTTGTTTCTGTTTTGTTTGTTCATTTATATTTTTTATTTATTTTTAAATATGTTTTTTATCAATTTATTTTATTTTTTTAGAGAGAGAGGAAAGGAGAGAGAGAGAAACATCTATGTGACAAAGAAACATTGATTGGCTGCCTCCTGCATGCCCCCTACTGGGGATCGAGCCCACAACCTGGGCATGTGCCTTAACCAGGAATCAAACCAGGACTTCTCAGTCCATGGGACGATGCTCAATACGCTGAGCCACGCTGGCTGGGCTATTTTGTTTTTTAGATTCCACGTATAAGTGAAATTATATGGTACTTGTCTTTCTCTTTCTAACTTATTTCAATTAGCATAATATTCTCTACGTCCATGTTGTTGCAAATTGGTGATTTTCTTTCTATTTTTATTGCTGAATAATATTCTTTTGTGTACACATACTACATATTTATCCATTTATCTGTCTATGGACACCTAGGTTGCTTCCCTGTCTTGACTGTTGTAAATAATGCTGCAGTGAACATAGGAGTGTATGTATCTTTTCAAATTAGTGTTTTCAATTTCTTCAGGTAAATACCGGGTCATATAGTAGTTCTATTTTTAATTTTTGGAGGAACCTCCATATTGTTTTCTGTAGTGATCACAACAGTTTATATTCCTACCAACAGTACACGAAGGTTCCCTTTTCCTCGCATCCTCATCAATACTTTTTTGTTGTCTTTGTGATGATAGCCATTCTGACAGGGGTGAGGTAATAAGGTAATAGCTTATTATGGTTTTGATTTGCATTTCCATGATGATTAGTGAGAGATGTTGAACATCTTTTAATATGTCTGGCCATCTGTATGACCTATTTGGAGACATGTCTATGCAGATCATGCCCATTTTTTTATTGTACTGTTTGCTTTTATGATATTGAGTTTTATGACTTCTTTATATATTTTAGATATTAACTCCTTATCAGATGTATTATTTGTAAATGTCTTCTCCCATTTAGTTGGTTGCCTTTTTGTTTGATTTTTTTGTTTTGTTTTGTTTTTTATCCTCACCCGAGGACATTTTTCCATTTTTTGTTCAGATAGAATAGGAGGGAGAGAGAGGAGAGAGAGAAACATCTATATGAAAGGGACACATCGAGTGGCTGCCACCCGCATGACCAACCAGGGCCGGGGAGAAACTGCAACCAAGGTACATGCCCTTAGTGGGAACCTAACCTGGGTCTCACTGGACCGCAGGCCGATGCTCTAACCGCTGAGCCAAATTGGCCAGGGCAGTTGCCTTTTTGTTTTGTTGATGGTTTTCTTTGTGGTGCAAAAGCTTTTAAAGTTTGATGTCGTCCAGGTTGTTTATTTTTGCTTTTGTTGTCTTTGCTCTAAGAGACATATCCAAAAAGATATTGCTAAGCAGGATGTCAAAGAATTTATTGCCTATTGTTTCTTCTAGGAGTTTTATTGTTTCAAGTCTTACATTTAAGTCTGTAATTCAATTGGAGTTTATTTTTTGTATATGTATATGTCCAGTTTTCCCAACACCATTTAATGATGAAACTGTCTTTACTCTAGTGCCTCCTTTGTTGTAAATTAATTGATCTTATAAATACAGGTCTATTTCTGAGCTGCTTTTTGTTACATTGATCTATGTGTCAGTACCATGCTGTTTTGATTATTATAACCTTGTAGTATAGTTTGATATCAAGTAGCTTTATACCTCCAATTTTGTTCTTTTTCAATATTGCTTTGGCTATTTGGGGTCTTTTGTGATTCTATGTAAATGTTAGAATTATTTGTTCTAATTCTATGAAAAATGCTATTTGCATTTTTATAGGAATTACATTGAATCTGTAGATTGCCTTGGCTAATATGGACATTTTAATGATATTAATTCTTTCAATCCATGAACATATATCCTTGCACTTATTGTGTCTTCTTCAGTTTAATATCTTGTAGTTTTCAGAGTATAGGTATTTTACCTCCTTAGTATTCCTAGGTATTTTATTCTTTTGATGCAATTGCAAATGGGATTTTAAAACTTTTTTTTTCCAGATAGTTTGTTATTAGTGTATGAAAATGCAACCAATTTCTGAATATTAATTTTGTATCCTGAAGCTTTACTAAATTCATTTATTAGTCCTAATACTTTTTTGGTGGAATATTTAGAGTATTATGTATAGTATCATGTCTTCTGCAAATAATGATAGTTTTACTTCTTCCTTTCCAATTTGGATGCCTTTTATTTCTTGTCTGAATGCTGTGGCTAGGAGATTGGGCATCTTTGTCTTATTCAGATCTTAGAGAAAAAGCTTTGAGATTTTCACCATTGAGTGTATTATCTGTGGATTTGTCATATATGACTTTTATTATGTTGAAGTATGTTCCCTCTACCTCCATTTTGCTGAGAGTTTTTATTATAAATGGATGTTAGATTTTGGCAAATGCTTTTTTTTGCATCTATTTATGTGATCATATGATTTTTATCCTTCATTTTGTTAATGTGGTGTATCACATTGATTGACTTGTGGATTTGAACCAACCTTGCATCCCTGGAATAAGTCCCACTTGATCATGATGTGTAACATTTTTAATGTATTGTTGAATTTGGATTGCTGATATTTTGTTGAGGATTTTTGCATCTGAGTTTTTTTAGGGAATTGCCTTGTCTTTACGTCCATTTTAAATTATAACCCATGATTTTATCTCATCAATAATGAGGACAGTCACCTAGCAGCAGAGGGTCACAACATGCTATATTTCCCATGGTTATAGTACATGCTTTTCCCATTGTCTAGAAAAACCTCTAGCATCCACCCCACTTTGCTTGTCTGACTCCTGTTCTTTGCCTCGCATCCCTTCCTTGAATTGGAGGGGGGGGAGGGGAGGATGAAGTGTCCCTTCTTGTGCTCCAATACTGCCATAGTATTTATTAAAATGTGATGAAGTAGCTTTCATAGCTCTCATTGGACTAAAATTCCTGAAGGTAGGAAGTTGTCTATTCACCATGATATCGCTAGTGCTCACAACAGGCCCTTAGTAAATACTTAAATCACTGAGTAAGCCCTGGCCAGTTTGGCTCAGCAGTTAGAGCGTTGACCTGTGGACTAAGGAGTCACGGGTTCAGTTCCGGTCAAGAGCATGTATCTTGGTTGCAGTTTGTCCCCAGCCCCAGTTGGGGTGGTGCGGGTGGCCCCAGTTGGGGTGGTGCGGGTGGCAACCAATCAGTGTGTCTCTCTCACATTGATGTTTCTCTCTCTCTCTCTCTCCCTCCCACTCTGTCTGAAGATAAAATGTAAAAATATCCTTGGGTGAGGATTTAAAAAATAATAATTTTTAAAAATTATTCAGTAAAATGGAGCAGCAGAGCTGGATCTTGAAGAAATATGTTTGTGTAGATGAGATTCAAAGGAAGGGAAAAAGCTCTATAGCAGTGTTTCTCAATCTCTTTACCCTAGAGGAAACATTAAAGTAATTCTTGGGCTTCAGAGAGCCCCTGCATAAAAATTATTGCATCTGTAACCCATGGCATGTTAGTGTGGTCTTACATCATAAATATAATCCAGTGTAATTGTTGGTGTTTTTGAGAGAGATGATTTCTCTATAGACCTGTGTATTAGTTTGCCAGAGCTGCCATAACACGGTACCACGGACTGGGTAGCTTAACCAACAGAAACTTATTTTCTCACAATTTTGGAGGCCAGAAATCTAAGGTCAAGAAGTCAGCAGCTTGGTTTCTTCTGAGGCCTCTCTCCTTAGCTTGTAGGTGGCCATCTTCTCCTTGTGGTCGTCCTTCTGTGTGTCTGTGTCTTGATTTCCTCTTATAAGGACACCAGTCTATTGGATTAGGGCCTACCCTAGTAGCCTCATTTTAACTTACTACCTCTTTGAAGATAGTATCTCCAGATAAGGAGATACCTCATGTTCTGAGGTACGAGGGGTTAGGACTTCAACATATGAATGTAGCTCAGCCCATGACAGTCTGTTAATTTGGCTGGTTTGTTACCCTGTTCTTTCTGTGGCTCCTCCCTGAAACAGGGTGTCAACTCTGAAGCAAATCAGTAGTGTAAGTAGACCCTTTGGTTCTTTTGTGAATTTCCTACTGGATTTTCTCTCTGCCTTATCCAAGAATACCTGAAACTCTTAACTGATGAGGTGTAGTATATATTACATGACCTCTATTGGGTAGTTTGTTTCCACTTTCAAACAAAACTGCTTAACCTTTCTTATTTAAGTAAAGGTAGTGAAGCTTAGTTTACTTTTCTTAAAATTAATCTTTAAATTTTTTTAATTCATAAAGGAAAAAAGATTTCTATTAAATAACTGGCTTAAGACCAGATTAGACTTAATTTTTATAAAGTTATGCCTAGACTTGGTAGACTTTAGGTAAAGGTTGTGAATTCGTTTTTTGTTTTTTTTATCCTCACCCAAGGACACCTTTGCATTCAGATAGAGTGGGAGGGAGGAAGAGAGAGAGAGAGGAACACCGAGTGGTTGCCACCCACATGACCCCAACCAGGGCCGGGGACAAACTGCAACTGAGGTACGTGCCCTTTGTTTTTCCATTGATTTTTAGAGAGAATGGAAGGAAGGGAGGGAAGGGGAGAGAGAGACGCACACTCATAGATCGGTTGCTTTCTGCGTGTACCGAAACCCAGGGAACCAATGCTCTAACCAATGAGCCACACTGGTCAGGGTCATAAGTGTTACTTTTAAAACTAAAAATATGGCCCTGACCAGTTTGGATCAGCGGTTAGAGCATTGGCCAGAGAATCCTGGGTTCGGTTCCTGCTAAGAGCACATACCTCAGTTTCAATTCATCCCCAGCCCCTGTTGGGGTCATGTGGGTGGCAGCCAGTCGATATGTCTCTCTCACATTGATGTTTCTCTCTCTCTCTCTTTCTCCTCTCCCTCCCATTTTATCTGAAGATAAATGCAAAAATGTTCTCGGGTAAAGATAAAAAATAAATAAATAAAAATATGGAATGAGCCCTGGCCGGTTTGACTCAGCAGTTGGAGTGTTGGCCTGCAGACCAAAGAGTCACGGGTTTGATTTCAATCAAGGGCACATACCTTGGTTGCGATTTGTCCCCGGCCCTGATTGGAGTCGTATGGGAGGCAACCAGTCAATGTGTCCTTCTCACCTCGATGTTTCTCTCTCTCTCTCTTCCTCTTTCTCCCTCCCACTCTGTGTGAACAAAAATGGAAAAATATCCTCAGGTGAGGATTAAAAAATATATATATATGGAATAATGTTTATTTCTTTAATGTTTAATTTGTGCTTGTGTTTTGCTGTAATACTCATTCCAAGTTGAACTTGAGCTAAGCACACAGATTTCACTTTCAACTGAGACAAGACCATTTCTGTCCTTGCCCTCAAGTTTGTTGAGTGAAGCGAAGCTTGCCTACACATGCAGGAAGGGGAAAGGGCAGTAGCAAGGTGTGGTCACATTTCTGTGAATGGTAGGATTTTCTTTTTTTTTATTGTCCTCTCATGCCTTTAAGAGCCAGCCCTATACTCAGAACGGCCCTCCTAAACTGAAGGGAGACAGTTGAATGTCCTGCCAGACTCCCCTGTTATAACTGAGCACAGGGGAGCAGAGAAGGTAGGATTTTCTTTTTTATGGAAATCTAGAATTTATTTAGGTCATCGTGAATCGCATCTTGAGTGTACGATAGGACTGCAGCTTGCCAAGTTCTTTCTCTTGACTGAAAGTCAAGTTCTCAAACTGAGCAGAAAGGGAGGAAAAGTATTGTTTAGTTTTGTCCTGCCACTCCCCAGACTGTTCTCTACAAGCCTCGGGACTTGCTGATATCCTTCTTCATGTTCAAGCACCAGCAGTATAGGGAATGCTTTAGGATTTCCTTTTTTCACCTTTTAATTGAGATAAAATTTACATAGCATAAAAATCACCATTTTAAAGTTGAGTGGTTTTTAGGGCATTCACAGTATTGTGCAACCATCACCAAACTCTGTACCTCCCCATTTCTGCCTCCCCCAGAGCCAGGTAACCACCGTGTTACTTTCTGGCTCTGTGTATTTGATACTCCAGGCCCCTCATATAAACGGGATTGTTCAGTTATGTGGCTTCTGTTGCCTGGCTTCTTTCACTCAGTTAGAATAATGTTTTCAAAGCTCCTCCATGTTGGAAGCATGTATTAGTACTTAACATGCTAGTTTTTGGCTGAATGATAACCATTATTTGATATGCCACATCTTATTCATCTATTCTTCAGTTAATGGACCTTTGGGTTGCTTCCACTTTTTGGCTACTGTGAATAATGCTACATGAACGTTCATGTACATGTGTTTGGAAGGGCTTGCTGGATTGCCAGGAAGTGTGCTGTTCCTCCTTTGTACATCCGTTTACCACATGTAGCTTTTTTATTTTTAATCCTCACTCAAGGATACGTCTCCATTTATCTTCAGATAGAGTGTGTGAGAGAGAGAGAAACGTCAATGTGAGAGAGACACATCAATTCATTGCTTCCCACACGACCCTGACCAGGGCCAGGAACAAAACTGCAACCAAGGTACATGACCTTGACCGGAATCAAACCCAAAACTCTCTGGTCTATGGGCTGACACTCTAACCACTGAGCCAAACCAGCCAGGGCACCATGTGTAGTGTTTTAATGGATAATAAGGTTCAGCCAATTTGTTGATATGTTTCTTTTTTTTTTATCCTCACCCGAGGACATTTTTGCATTTATCTTTAGATAGAGCATGAGGGAGAGAGGAAGGAAGAGAGAGAGGGAGAAACATCGATGTGAGAGAGACACATCAACTGGTTGCCACTCACACGACCCCAACAGGGGCTGGGGACAAACTGCAACTTGGGTACATGCCCTTAGCAGGAACCAAACTCAGAACTCTCTGGTCGGCAGGCTGACGCTTTAACCGCTGAGCCAAACTGGCCAGGGTTGTTGATATGTTTCTTTGGCGAGTGGGAGTCATACTGCTTCATGATAAATACTGTAAAGGATATTTTTTTTTCTGGTGTTACCTATTTCGTGTTGGAAAATTGATTTTATGTTTACTTCCTATGTTTATTAGTTACCTAAATTATTTCCCATTCATACTCCTGCTTTTATTTCATTACAGTTAAAATTTAGTGCTTGTCATATTCTTGAATTCTAATATTTGTGTATATTTATATAAATTTATTTTTATGTTTTGCTTTGGGTGGGAATTATTTTGCTTGTTTCTGAGACAAATGAGATGTGTTTTTTCCTAGAGCGTCCCATACCCTTTGACCACATGATGTATGAGCATCTTCAGAAGTGGGGACCACGAAGGGAAGAAGTGAAATTTTTTCTTCGACATGAGGATTCTCCAACTGAGAGCAGTGAACAAGGTAGATTAAGTGCTTTTCCCCCATTTGTTAATTTTTGCCATTAAAGTTAATTTTAAAAAGTAGGAATAAGTATTACAATAAGTTACTTAAGCCGTTTTTTTCCCCTTCACTCACAGTGGTGAGCCGGGAGAGTTGGTGTCTTACGTTTCTTTGATCTGTTATTGCAGTTTGCTATTATTTCACACTCTCTAGGCACCTAGCCCTTGCTTCCTTTTCAGGTCCATGGTCAGTCCAATAATGCACTCAAGCATGTGAGGGGACCTGCTGTATAAAGGAATCTTTCAATAAATACCAGATAGATCAAGTATCTAGATTTTAAAAATAAATAAAGCCATGAAAAAAAAATAGAAAAAATCTGGGAAATATTTTTATTTTATTTATTTATTTAGTTAGTTAGTTAGTTAGTTAATCCTCACCTGAGGATATTTTTCCATTGATTTTTAGACAGAGTAGAAGAGAGAGAGAGAAACAGCGATGTGAGAGAGAAACATTGATCAGCTACCTCCTGCACGCCCCCTGCTGGGGATCAAGCTCGCAACCCAGGTATGTGCCCTGAAGGCATCCAACTGGGACTTCTCAGTCCTTGGGACAATGCTCAATCCACTGAGCCACACTGGCTGGGCAATAAAAATATTTTTAATAAAATAAAAATTGATACCAAGCCCTGGCCAATTTGGCTCAGCAGTTGGAGCATCAACCCGTGGACAGAAGGATCTCAGGTTTGATTCCTGGTCAAGGGCTCATACCTGGGTTGCAGGTTCGATCCCCAGCTCCAGTCCAGGTCATGTGGAAGGTAACCAATCAATGTGTCTCTCTCACATTTAATGTTTCTCTCCTCGCCCTGGCTGGTTTGACTCAGCGGTTAGAGCGTCGGCCTGCGGTCTAGAGAGACCCGGGTTTGGTTCCTGCTAAGGGCACGTACCTTAGTTGCAGTTTGTTCCTAGCCCTGGTTGGGTTGTGTGGGTGGCAACCACTCGATTTGTCCCTTTCATGTCAATGTTTCTCTCTCTCTCTCTCCCTCCCACTCTATCTGAACAAAATATCAAAAAAATGTCCTCGGGTAAGGATAAAAAAAATAATAATGTTTCTCTCCTCTCTCTTTCCCTTTTACTCTCTCTAAGCATCAATGGAATAATATCCTTGGGTAAGGATTAACAACAAAAAAAATTGAAACAGTAAAAAAAAATGAGCAGCATATGTAAACATGTAGTTCACAGAAAAAGAAATATCTGTGGCCCTAGGATATATGAAAAGATGTCCCACCTTACTCCTAATAAAAACACTGATACTTATTCCACCTGTCACACTGGCAAAGATGAGAACATTTAATAACACATGTTGGCAAGGAGGTTGAGAAGTAGGCACTCTCCATAAAGCCATGGGGGTGTCAGTTGACAGCTCTTGCAGAGAGCAGTTTGGTCATATCTGTTCTGCTTACAAAAGCATGAAACCTTTCACCCAGCAGTCTCACTTTTTTTTTTATCCTCACCCGAGAACATTTTTCCATTCTTTGTTCAGATAGCATAGGAAGGAGAGAGAGAGAGAGAGAGAGAGAGACATCGATGTGAAAGGGGCATATCGAGTGGCTGCCTCCTGCACGACCCAACCAGGGCCAGGGAGAAACCGCAACCGAGATACGTGTCCTTAGCAGGAACCAAACCCGGGTCTCTCTGTACCGCAGGCCGACGCTCTAACCGCTTAGCCAAACTGGCCAGGGCCAGCAGTCTCACTTTTGAGAACTCACCCTAAAGCTGTGCCAACACACGTACAAGATGGCGTGCACATAGTGTTCCTCATGGAGCCACTGATAGGAACAGCCTGCATGCCTACCGGGGGCGTGGGGCTAAAAAGTCATGCTACATCCAGACAGTGGATGGTCCTGCAGCCATAAACAAGAAGCTCTGTGCCCAGACCCATCTCCTGGGCACACTGGCGAGTAAGCACCATGGGAAACAGTGTGCACATGTGCAGCCCCTGAGTAATGGGGACAAAGAAGGAACTACATATGTCCATGTTGGCTTGTGCATGTCTGAAGTGTCTTTGGAAGGATACTGAGAAACTGGTAACACCCAAGCCAGGTAGCTCAGTTGGTTGGAGCCCTATCTCAATCCCCCAGCTGTGATGCTGTACCCTCTGCCCTGCTCCTCTGCCTGTGCTTAGGCACATTCTATCTGTCTCTCAAGGTCAAAGAAAGGGGACAGTTATGGCACTCTGCTCCCTGTTTTATTTTGTTCACTGAGCTTCTCCAGCTTATACTCTAAGCAGCCAGAATTCAGGATCCAAGACTCATGTCCCTCAATGAGGGACAGGCAGTTGTCACCGATCGACTGTATTGAAAAGGGAGTACATTTGAGTGTAAGTAAAAGACATCCCTCCCCAGCAGGGTGAGAGCTCTCTATTCGGTAGCTAGAGGAGAGCACACAGGGCATGTACTTTACTCACCTTTCACACTTGGGGAAACTGAAGCCCAGCGTGTAAACTAATTCGAAGAAGGTCCTATGCAGGGCACATGCTAGAGCCCAGGGGCTGGTGTGATGGCAAAGGGGTACAAGCCACCTGGGTTCAGCCCTGGCTGTGCTGCTTACTGGGTGTGGACTTTTGGCGAGTGGCTCCACTTCCTCGTCTGCAGGCGTGGGGTTATGGTGGGCTAAGAGGAGCACTGGTGAAGTGCCCAGAGGGCTTGGAGCATGGTCAGTGCTCACTACATGCCAGTTCTTACTCTCTTCTGTCTCGGAATTTGATATCATCAAGTTTCTGCTTTACCATAAAATATTAAGTGGCACTTGATATAATTTTATTTTATTTTATTTTATTTTTATCCTCACCAGAGGACATCCCTCCATTTTTTGTTCAGGTAGAGTGGGAGGGAGAGAGAGGAACAGAGAGAGAGAGAGAAACATCGATGTGAAAGGAACACATCGAGTGGCTGCCACCCTCACGACCAACCAGGGCCGGGGACAAACTGCAACCGAGGTACGTGCCCTTAGCGGGAACCGAACCCGGGTCTCTCAGGACCGCAGGCCGACGCTCTAACCGCTGAGCCAAACTGGCCAGGGCGGCACTTGATATAATTTTAATGTGTATTTTATAATATTCTAATTTCTTGCTACTTTGTTGTTTGGGAGAGGCAGCAATTACAGAACATTAAATTAACCCAAATACTTTAAAGATACTAAGAATAACTAAGAGTTTAATTTACCCCGTAAACTGATAGATGCCATAGTTTAGGCATATGTGTAATTTCTGCCCACAGAAAACTATTCTAGACATTGTGAAATGACTGTGTTAAGTGGCATGCATGTCACCCACATCTGCTTAGCCTGTCTTCATTACTGCCTCCCAAGGACCTTTTTTTTTTTTTTTTTGGACATTCTGTTTTTACTTGACCTTACTTATCACATATACTATATATCTGTTTATGTACTATATGTCTTCACTTTATACATAAAAATATCTTTTTATCCCCCAAGAACTAACCTGTGCCCTTGGAGGTGAGGATGCGGGTTTAAGGAGAAGCAGTACATCCATCATATCATCTTTCTTCAAATACGGTTTGGCTCAGCAGCGAGCACATCAGCCTGTGGACCCAAGGGCCTCAGGTTCAATTTCTGGTCAAGGGGACATACCTGGGTTGTGGGTTCAATACCCGACCCCAACCAGGGCTGTGCAGGAGGCAACCAATCAGTGTGTCTCTCTCACATCAATGTTTTTCTCTTCTCTCTCTCTCTCTCTCTCCCCCGCCCTCCCACTCTATCTAAAAACCAATGGAAAAATATCTTCAGTGAGAATTAACAAAAACAAACGAAAAACAAATAGAAAGGAAATAGAAAAAATATTTTTGTATTTTAGGGTTGTTAATCCTCACTCGAGGATATTTTTTTCCATTGGTTTTTTTTTTAGAGAGAGTGAAAGAGAGGGAGGGAGGGAGAGAGACACACATCGACTGGTTGCCTCCCACACATGACACAACCGGGACTAGGGATCAAACCTGCAACCCAGGTACATGCCCTAAACCAGGAATTGAACCCAAGAACCTTTGGTTCAAGGGCGACACTCTAACCACTGAGACACACCATCCAGGGCAAATTTGAAGCCCTTTTTTAAAAAAATGTTTTAATTTTTACAGAACAAAGAATTCCCAAGACTGCCCAGACTGAGACAGCGCCCCACCTCAGGGTCAGCCCTGTTAGTGAGGATCAGTTCTGTATGTTCAGTTCTGTTCGAGTCTTCTCTTTTTTATCCTCACCCGAGGACATTTTTTCATTTTTTGTTCAGATAAAGCGGAGGGAGAGAGAGAGAGAGAGAGAAACATCAACATGAAAGGGACACATCGAGTGGCTGCCACCTGCACGACCCAATCAGGTCCGGGGACAAACTGCAATCCAGGTACATGGCCTTAGCGGGAACCGAACCCAGGTCTCTCTGGACCACAGGCCAACGCTCTAACCGTTGAGCCAAAGCGGCCAGGGCTGTTCGAGTCTTCTAACTCATGAAAGCCCTTTAAATTTTTTTAAACCTTATTATAATTTATTTTGTTACAAATTAGGACTATGTACATGATAGATACTCAAGTAGCCCTTTAAATTTTTTAATATAAATTTCATGTGGTAAAATATACAGAACATAAAGTTTATCATTTTGACCAAGTATTAGAAACCTATTGATGTGAGTTTCAAGATTCTGAAATAGAATGTTAGATAAGGATGTTTCATTTAAACAACTTTATGTATGCAGATTAATTATGAAACATTTTTCAACTGTACTAAGTCTTGAGTTGTTTATCTTGGTGTTTTTTGTTTTTAATGTTTTATTTATTTAATTTTTTTTATCCTGACCCGAGGACATGTTTGCGTTTATCTTCAGATAGAGCGGGAGGGAAAGAGGGAGGACTAGAGAGAGAGAAACACTGATGTGAGAGAGACCCATTGACTGGCTGCCACCCACATGACCCCAACTGGGGCCGGGGATAAACTGCAACCAAGGTACATGCCCTTAGTGGGAACCAAACCCGGGTCTCTCTGGACCATGGGCTGATGCTCTAACCACTGAGCAAAACCGACCAGGGCTATCCTGGTGTTTAAAAAAAATGGGAGAACATTGTTTTTCTAGTATGTCTTTTAGTAAGTTTGGTCCTTTCATTTCTGTAGGTGGCCGTCAGACCCAAGAGCAAAGAACCCAGAGAAATGTAATAAATGTACCAGGAGAAAAACGTACTGAAAATGGGGTAAGCAACAATGAATTAACAATGAATTATATTTAAATTTTTTAAATGCTTTTTATGAGTACTAATTAGTTTTGGTTATATTTTATTTTTGAAGAATTTTTTTTAGTAGAAATTATTTCTGTTGAATATTTCACAGCTCTTCATGAAGTTATAAAGAGGCAGTCACTGAGTGGTCTTACTCGTCCACACTTGGTCCACATATTGAGTGGCCTCAAGCAGAGCATTGCCCTCCACACATGTCCTGGAGTGGCAGCTCTGTACCTCTAAGCAGTGGCTCATCCCCTGGGCTCAATCTCTAGGCTAAGAGGTGAGCGGGCAGCTTGCTGTGTATTTTCAGTGATGATGTCTTGACCTTTCTGTCAGGTTTTGAAAGACGCGTGCCTAGTGGGTTGACATTTTCCTCAGCTGTCTGCGGGAGCAAGAGCTTCCTTTGTTACCTGGCGCAGAGTTGGAGAACAGGCCCAGTGTTGCTTATGGTGGGGAAGTGTGTCTGGTGGAGGGGTTCTTTTTTTTTTTTTTTTTTTTATCCTCACCCGAGGACATTTTTCCATTTTTTGTTCAGGTAGAGTGGGAGGGAGAGAGAGGAACAGAGAGAGAGAGAAACATCGATGTGAAAAGAACACATCGAGTGGCTGCCACCCGCACAACCGACCAGGGCCGGGGACAAACTGCAACCGAGGTACGTGCCCTTAGCGGGAACCGAACCCGGGTCTCTCAGGACCGCAGGCCGACGCTCTAACTGCTGAGCCAAACTGGCCAGGGCGAGGGGTTCTTTTTAAGAGATGTTGGTGCATGTTAAAAGAAGGAGCAGGTAGGGAAATTTTCAACATGGCCTTTCCTGGAAATTTTAGTAATAACTTTTTTTTTTTTTCATCCTCACCCGAGGACATTTTTCCATGTTTTGTTCAGATAGAGTGGGAGGGAAAGAGAGGAAGAGAGAGAGAGAGAGAGAGAGAGAGAGAGAAACATTGACGTGAAAGGTACACATTGAGTGGCTGCCACCCGCACGATCCAGGGCCGGGGACAAATTGCAACCGAGATACGTGCCCTTAGTGGGAACCAAACCTGGGTCTCTCTGGACCGTAGGCCAATGCTCCAACTGCTGAGCCAAACCAGCCAGGGCGTAGTAATAACTTTTCCAAATAGTTTTTTTTTTTTCTTCTTTTTTTTTATCCTCATCCAAGGACATTTTTCCATTTTTTGTTCAGGTAGAGTGGGAGGGAGAGAGAGGAACAGAGAGAGAGAGAAACATCGATGTGAAAGGGACACACGTAATGGCTGCCACCCGCATGACCAACCAGGGTCGGGGACAAACTGCAACTGAGGTATGCACCCTTAGTGGGAACCGAACCGGCGTCTCTCTGGACCACAGGCCTATGCTCTAACCACTGAGCAAAACCGGCCAGGGCCCAAATAGTTTTAAAGCTAGAGAATTTGTTTATTTTTCTGGCTCTGCCAGTAACTGGGTATGTGATCTTGGGCAGGTGGCTTCCCTAGCATGGCACTTTGCACAGGCAGACACTGGTGGAGAGCACGGGGCTGCAGTGGGGAGGCCACAGCCAGGTACTGACTCCAGAACTTTCTGCCTAGCTAAATTTGAGCAAGTTACTTTGCCTCTCTTCTTTCCAACTTACTTTTATTGAACTGCTATTTTACTTTATTGTGTACCATTGTGGCTTTAAATGATATACTTAAATCTTTATTTCTCTGTGCTATCCACTTTAAATCATATCTCAGGATCCACCCTCCCCCCACCATAAGATGAGAATATTAGCCATCCCCCTCTTCCTTGCCCACCTACCTTCCAGCTCCTTCAGCTGTACTTCTGTGTTGCTGAGGTTGATAATATGTTTATACTGTTATTTAACTATAATGAAGCCTTTGTGCTTTGTAGGTTGGTTATAAAGTTGAAACCATGTAATAGTGTTTATCATTTTCGATTCTGCAGCTGTCTGTCCCCTGCAGAGCCAAGTAGTGTGCTAGATTATATTTTCTTCTCTTTGCTTACAGTGCCCTAAGCCTTGTGCCACTCGGGAGAACTGTTGTAATGTCAAGATTATGGATTCTCCTTCCAATTTCTAGAGGTCATTCCTCAAATCCTTTCCTCACTCCAAATCTAGAGTCCCTGTGGGGTTCTTCTGGGTGTGTTTACTTCAGCAAGTCTTGAGATAAAAAGGCCCAGACCATGTTGGTAGAACTTTTGACTCTGTTGGTCTGGGGCGGGCCCTGGAAAACTCTCCATAGAGCTCTCTTGCCCTGCCAAGTTTGGGGTCCCTGGGCCACATGCACACAGTGCCACAGGAATTCAGAACTTACTTGTCCAACAGAATTTTGAAGATCTTTTTGAGTTCTGAGATCTCCCTGAACTCCAGGGAAGATGAAATAAATACATCGAGAAGGCCTTGTGCTGAGGTGGGCCATGTGCTTGTGTGATGAAGGGAGGGGGCCCCAAAGGAGAGGGTGCAAGACTGTAATACAGGGAGTTCTGAGGTTTGATGTGAGGTGCCTCTGGTCTTTTCTTTCCGATGGTTGTTTCTTATTAACATGGAGATAATGTTTGCTTTTCAAGATCAACACAACTGAAACCTGAAACCAAAATTAAATGTTTGTAGCCCTTATGTGACTTGTAATTAAAGGAAGGTAGAGAGCTAGTCTGGAGGTATAACTTAGTGCTGGAAGCATTACATCAAAGACGTTACTGTATTTTATGGCATACACACCTGCCTTTTAAGCCTAATAATATATTACCTTTGTAAAGCACTTTATTGTCTACAAAGCACTTTTTTTTTTGTACACTTTCAAAGTTAATAAGATATTAAAAACATCTTTCTCCAAGAATGTTTTTGTGTATGCCCTGGCTATAGAGTAATGGCACATGGAACTTTGTAGCCTTGTGGGTGGACAGCAGCCAGGGACAGATCAAGCGGCAGCTGAGGGAGGCGGGCGTGTGGGTGGGAAGAGGACAGTGTGCTACGTTGCGGTGATTCATGCCCATGAGCAGCTGCTCAGCCAAGAGGCTAGGGGTGTTCTGCTCTCTGAAAATTGCAGGTCAACACATCAAGTTGTCTGAGAGATAAAGGCCCAGACCCCCTGGGGTGGGCCCAGAAAACTCTCCACAGGACTGTTTCCCTGCTGGGTTTGGGAACCCCAGGTAATATGCACACATTGTCATAAGCATTCAGAACTTGTTTGTCCAACAGAAGTTTGAAGATTTGGTTTGACTTTGTGCTATAAAGGCAGTTAGTCAGTTTGCTGAGCAACACTGGCCAGGCTAACCCTCAAAATAACTGTAAAAATATAGGGAAAAAGAGGAGTGATTTAATATTCTATAATATTATGTGAATATAAATAGATTTTATTCTATTATTTTTGTCAGTGTTTTGTTTTAGGGATGTTTGTCATTTAAAATTTTTTAAATTTATTTATTGATTTTAGAGAGGAAGGGAAGAGTGAGAGAGAGAAATAATGATTTGTTATTCCACTTGTTTATGCATTCATTGGTTGATTCTTGTATGTGCCCTGACCAGGGGTCAAACCCTCAACCTTGGCCTATTAGAACAACACTAACCAACTAAGCTACCCAGCCAGGGCTGTTTGTCATTTTTTAAATGACACTTTACTTAATCCGATTATGATTTGAGAATCTAGTTAGCACTTTAAACAAATATCTTGTGATGATTAAATTACAAGATAGGATACTGGCTGTTTGAACTAATTCTTCTTTATTCCTTTTTTGGTGACATGTAAATACAGAAGAATGTGTAAAACATGTACATTTTTGAGAGTTACTTAAAAAAAACTCTCAGGTAACTACCACCCAGCTTAGAAGTTCTCTCTCTATTCTGTTTAAAGCAATTCTATTCAATTTATTTTGATTTGAGAAAGACCAAAGGCATTATAAAAGCCAGGTGTTTGATGTTGGCTACTTGAAGTCTCTCTCAAATTCCATAGAGAGAGAAAGGGTGTATTGAAGATGAGTGTGTAAACAATTAAATCACAGTGCACTGGGATTGAGAACAATCTGGCTGCAACATCTGTCACCCCATTGATCACCAGGGTTGATTTGGCTGATCTGGCTGGCTAGGTGGGTGTACCCCTCCTCCTTCACCGACCTGATCCACGTGCATCCCTCTAGAAGCTGCAGCTCAGTGAAGAGGACGACCTTCCCCGCAGAGGAGAGGACTGGTCTTTGGTCAAGGGTATATGGGTGGCTGCACTCCCCTGTTAGAACCTCAAAATAAGCTCTCAAAGTCCATTTGTAGGAGAACGTAGGTTAGTCAAGCTTCCAAGACTCTAGACATCTAAATGAGGTGCTACCCAGGTAGTCTTCCTTTCTAAAACTTAATCAGTCAATCAATCACAGTGCACTGTGACAGGTGTGACGAAAGTGGAAGGAGGCACCAGAATAACAGGACAGGATCTGAGAACTTACTGAGGTGGAGATCAGATCGGAGAAAGCACCGCACTCTGGTGGCAGAGCTATCAACATGTTGGTAAGGGTATTGTGGAAGGTCGGGGACAGGGAGGTGGGGCGATACTGAGGAGGATGGAGAGCTGAAGTATTGGGGGTAGGGAACACAGATCTCCACTGTGCTAAGGCCCAGACTTAACCTTGTAGGGTTTTAAGCAAGAGAAAGACAAGATTAGCTGTGTTCTAGAAAGATTGCTCTGGTGCTAATGTGTGAGGATTCTGTCTTGGGGTGGGAATGAGAATGGAGACAGGGTGCACTTGAATCTCAGAGAGCTGTACTTTTTTTGAAAATAAATGTTCAGGGTTGTGGAGATACAAGCTTAAAAAGCATCTCGTTATCTACAAACTACAGTTCTAAAGAACGGTCGCTTGAGTTGATAACATAAATAAGAGAAATCATTATTAGCTAACAGGATGATGTTTCTTTAAAGAAATCTTTTTTTTTTTTTTTTTATCCTCACCCGAGGACATTTTTTCATTTTTTGTTCAGATAAGAGTGGGAGGGAGGGAGAGAGAGAGAGAGAAACAT